GCAGACTTTGATGTTTCGGGTATCATTCTTTAGCCACCCACCCTCACCCCCTTTCATTCTTTATCCTCTTTCGTGTCATTCACCCATCTGTAGCACTGCAGTTAAGCGCACCGAAAGAATGACCAGCGCTTGACTGCGTGTGTTTCTGTGTGTGTTTGGGGTCGATTATGGTCCCTGTTGACCCATAAATACGCACGTACACACAAGGCGGGGCCGATGACTCTGCTCCGCCCCTTGGCTGAGGGACTCTACGCGTTGCCCGTTGGCCGCTGACCCACATGACCCCCGCCGCTGTCACTGCGCTGTGACAAAAGGGTGAACGGTGGCAACAAGTGCGACATGCACTTTGGGGTCGCCAAGTGACCAGCGGTGGACAGCAATTTGGGTAAATGATATGCTTCAATTTAATTGCACTGCACTAATCAGCAGAAGCAGAAGGAGAAGCAGCAGGAGAAGCAGAATGCGACAAAACTGAAGGCTGTTCGTCGTGACAGGCCCTGGCGCTAGTCCGCAGGGCTAATGACAGCTTACTGTCAGCGATAATTGAACAACAGTCCAAGTCCAGTCCAAATGGGAGACAAACAAGTGACGCGGGTTGGGGGGTACAGTTGCGTTTCAGCTTACTTGAGATCCTTGTCTCGGTGTTGGGGTGGGGGAAGGTAAGTTGGCCATTTATAATGGGCACTCGGTACGGCTAACAGTGTTACATGCCTTTGGGGTATTGTCCGACATGTTGAGGTCCTTGACAAATCATAGTTGGATAAGTTACACACAGACGACAGACTCAACAGCTGCTAAAGTTCCCATTGAGGTACAGTTGCCTCCAAAGGCTAAACGCAATTCTATGCCACAGCTGCACCTGCAGACTGGCAGGAGTAATTACATTTTTCATTAAGCATAATTCCCCCCAGGTGAAAGTCCCTGTCGGCTTGTTTTTTCTCATAACTATTTGCAAAGTTGTGATATTTTCATGCGTTTACTGAGCACAGAAGGAGCACAGAAGGAGCACAGAAGCAGCACAGAAGGGGCACAGAAGGGGCACAGAATCTTCTGTCAATACAATACGTATAAAAAAAAAAACAGTTGGGTACTCATTAACACTAAAAGTTTGTGGCACCTTCTAACTGTTTAACAAAGTACAGTTGCGTCAAAGGGTTTGACCTGTTTCAAAGCGATTTCTCTGGGGCATTGCACCTGCAGAGCTGCAGAGGCTAAGCTGGCAACTGGTGGATGTTCATATCTACATCTACCCTTTATGCAACATCCCCCCAACCATCCCCCCCATAAGCCACCCCCTCTACCCTTTTTGCCCATCTCTGTGCAGTTCCCTTTCCACTTAATAATTTTAATGAAAGTGCATTGAAGGCTCGTTGGTTGCCTGGTTATTTGCCCTCCTCTAGCATCCTGCTCTCGGTGGGGCAGGCTGCCTTATGTGCTCCTACCCTTGGTCCAATATTATTTACGCTCAATTAAGTTCAAGCACATCTCCCACCCGCCCTCTTTCCGGCCCCCTTCACTGCCCTGTTTTCGCTCTAGCAGGCAGAGCTAGTTATATGCAACTGTTTCTCTAAACAAATTGCATTTGCAGGCAATTCTGGTTGCTCAGTCTGCTTGGCATTGTCTGACAATTGCCACGCCTCCACCCGCCCACCGATTGCTGGCGGGGGCTAGGAGATGTGCGGCAGGCAGAGGGGGTTTCGGGTATACAATAGAGAACCATCTCAGAGTGCCTGTCACGAGCCATTAAGCAGCCATTGTTTCGAACTGGCCTCCTGCCGAAAACCAGAGTGGCAAGTGGCATGGAGGCAAGTGGCAAGGAGGCAAGTGGCAAGGAGGCAAGTGGCAAGTGGCAAGAAGGCGAGTGCTCAAAGCAAAAAGTTAACGCTTGATTTCTGCACTAAAAACCAGAAGTTTGCCATTCTTTTGGGTCATTAGTTGGTAATTTATCAAAGTCATGAATTTATATTGCCCCCTCCCTCCCCCGCCCCTCTAGCATCACTACCCCACATGCCGAAATCCAACTGAAGAAAGTGCGGATGCAAAATTTCCATGCAGCAGCTGTCGTAAAATGAAATGGGGGAAAAGGAAGAGCAGCCCTGCCCAGCCAGAGAGCAAAAATATTATGAAGAGTGCAACAGAACAACAGAACAGAACATTGTCCCCGGAAAGCCATGCTTTTCCCCCAGACAGGCAGAGAGAGCGAGAGAGAGAAAGAGAGAGAGAGGTGGAAGCTATAGCTAAGCCCTTGATGATCATATATAGGAAAGAAAAGAAAGAAAAGCCAAATAACTGCCCAGACTAAATCAAATATTCCTAAATAACTTTCATTCTGTTCAATCACCGCTTACCATACCCTCATCCTCTTCCTCATCCCCATCCACAACCTCACCCCCATCCTCATCCCCTCTTCAAGCCAATGCAAGCAGACTAATTTTGTCGTCTTTCAATTAGTCAAATTTCGTAGCGTTCTCTGATTAAAATTCGCCAGAAGCGTAAATAGTTTTTCGTTTTGATGGTCCATTAAATTAAAACAATTGCTGGAGTCTCGCTTGTTGGACAGAGTTTCAAGGACCCAACCAGCCAACCCCCCACCCTGGCTGCAGCATACAAAATGACATGACACGACATTGCTCTCGAGTACTTTCTGGCTGTCATGCCTGTTGCTCATTTCAGTCGCTTCTTGTTCTGCTCTTGACAATGCAATTGGATGTACTTTATGGGCCATGCATACACCCGTACGCCCCTCCCCCACCGCTGGTATGAGTAGTATCTCTGGCTGAGTGGACATTCATTGCATTAGTTTGGTGCATAGTTTTGCTGGCCGGCAGACCAATTAGTTGCGGAATGCTGCGAGAGCATCCTTACCCCGTCCATACCTTGGCTATCAAATGCAAATTGTATTCGCCCAACTTCTGCTGTTGCCAAATAGTCGCCGTCGCAGTCGTAGTCGTAGTCGTAGTCGAGTTCATTAATGCAAAAATATGCGTAAAGTTTCGACCATGCCAGGCCCGGGCCGGCTCGGCCCACATTTGCAATCGAATCGAGTGGAATTCCTGCAAGTTGTTTGGTTGGTTGGTTGGTTGGTTGCTTGGTAACTTTCTGGCCAAGCCCTGAATGCGGGCGTGCTTTCTGCGGCTTCGCTTGTCTGGTGTATCGGCAGAGCAGATGGCCAGGCCAGCTCAGCCCAGTCCAGCCTTCGATTTTGCCAGAAAAGAGAATCAAAGTTTGCAAATTCATGCAAAGTTCATGCATTCGCAGCAATTATGACATCGCTTGGGTGGCTCATGCAAACTCAAAGTCTGTCGCAGGATCTGTGACAGAGATTCGCCTGCCCTCAAAATACAAAATTAAATTCATTGCGTATACGCCCAGTGTACATTCGAGCAAAGGAGAGAATGGAAAGTAGATACCTATGGCTTGCTAGAATTAAAGGCAACGACCTAAGAGATCATTTATGTTGACTTTATGGTGTACCTACAAATATTTCAATTTCCAATAAAGGAGAACAGGCGACAGGGAACAGCGGACAGAAGAGACTCGCGGGACATCCATTTGATTACCGCTGGGTCAGACACGGCATCCCAATGCGACGGGATAGATTTGGCGATGATGATGATGTTGGCTTGGCGATGATCGGGTGTCGCTTTCCAGCCAGCTGCTGGCTCTTAATGTGTTTCCGGTTGCCTGATTCATTTAATTATGATGTCCGCACCCAGAAAGGGGCAAACAAAAAAGGGGCAGTGCCGCGCACACATGCTCATTATTATAGCCACTTGATTGCCAGGCTGGGCCCAGACCAACCAACAACAAAATACGACTGTAACCCCCCACGAAAAAACCAAAAAATGTTCGCTGAAAAACTAGCAGCAGCAGCAGCAGAAACAGCAGCAACAGCAGCAAAGTCTGTTTGCTCTTGGTTTTTGCCTAATGGGAGGAAGCGAAAAAATCAAATAAAAATCATCTAGGAAATTGTTTCATTTATTCGATAGACAAGTATTTGCTTCATTTTGGGCCACTCTTTAAGCTCCTAGCAAAGTCTTGCTGCACGACAAATCCCTGCCGTTCATCAGCTTATAAAATTAATTGTATATCAACTGGCAATTAGTGTTTGTGCCAGTATACCTGCACTGCAGTAGATATATCTATTATTCTGGTCTGTATGGCATTTCTCTGGGCCATTTCAGGCAGCTTCTCTTGGCAGCACTTGGCAATGCTATTAAATATCCCAAAAACACCAAAGCCAAACAAAATTTCTCTGTTTCTGGCTCGGGCTCTGGCTCTGGCTCTGGCTTGGGCTCGGGCTCTCGTTAGCTTATCACTTTGATTGAGGATTCAGTTGCTTTTTCATTTCGTAGAAACCGAATCTTGTTTTATTGTGGTAAGGGCATAAAGGGCTGGCACCAACAGTCCCATTCATCAACTCAACTCAACAAGCAACAATTTTGTAGCACTCTCTCTTCCACTCCCTGCCACGCTTCGCCTTCTCTTTCACACTTTCCAGCTGGCTCTCTTTGTGGTGGCACTGTGCAAAGCCAGCCCTATCCTTTTGCAATTTGCTTGTATTAGAAACTCATTTCCGTTTGTAATTGAGTCGCTCCAGCAGTCTATTGTTTGTGTGTGTGTGTGTGTGTGTGTGTGTGTGTGTGTGTGTATGCGGTCTCACACACCATGCGTACATCCTGCGAACAGGAGCAGGACACCCCATCCGGATTTCCCCAGGCATATCACATCATATGACGATATCCATCCATCCTTCCTTCATATTTGGGTTATGTATATGCAAATTAATAGCAATATTTGCTTTGATATGCCGCTGACTAACATTGTTCATCATTGTTCGTGTGCGGTTTTCGGTTTCGGTTTCGGCTTGCACATTCCCATATGCCCATCCCCCCCCCCCCCCACCCCCCACCCCCACCATTCCCATTTGATTGATTTGTAAAATGCATTTTTGGGCCAAGTGTTGGCTTAGTTTTTGATCGTTCATTTGTCCATTGCAGAACCATCGCCGCTGTACGACAACAACCACTACCATGAGGAGTGTCTGCGGTGCAACTCGTGCGGCTTGAATTTGACAGGACCCAACCAGAGGCGCGCCAGGAGGTTCAAGGTATGTATCCTGTATCCACCACCCACCCATCCTGCCCATCGAAACAAAAACTCATCTCATCTCGAATGCAGTTGCTCATTTTGTTCGGTGCTCATTATGTGGCAAATGAGGCAAATGAGGCAAATGCTGCATGTGTGGCACAAGTGGCAAGTGGCTTAATCAAAATAGCATACTCGTGCGGGCAGCCAATGCCAAAGGCAACAAAAACAAATGAAGTCACAAATAAATCATTTACGGCTAAGCAAAAATTCTCAAATCTAATGCTTCTCTCTCACACCATTTTTGTTTTTTTTTGTTTGTTTGTTTGTTGGTTGGCAATGCAGAACCAGATCCTGTGCGACCTGCATTTCGCAGACGTGGCCCTAATGGAGTGCTCCGATTTTATGCAGCAGCTGCGGAGCTTCAAGCCCCAATCGCTGGGCTGTGCGGTGGCGCGACGCAAGAGCTCCACGACGTTAATATTTCCATTGCCGCCGCAAGCATGTTCAGGTATGTAGGCGCACATTTTATTATGGCCAAATCGGCACTGGGACTGGGACTGGGACTGGCACTGGCACTGGCTCGGGCACTGGGACTGTGATGTGACTTTGCGAGGAGCAACACTTGGTCCATGCCTACCAAGCCCCCTGCCACATGCCGCTGCTGATACCCTGCACACATATCACTCATGGGGGCATATTGGACGGGGCTTCTGTTGGGATTCTACAGACGTAATCGATGCGCAATTTAAATCCATTCTGGAGTGATTCTCAGAGAGTGATTCTTTGAGAGAAATTTCGGGCAAATTTCAGTTGCTAAGTACTAAGCCTAAAGCCTAAACTATTATTTTAAATAAAATTTTAGCCCGCTGAAATTTGAAGCATGCCAATAAAATAGTTGGGAGATTTTTGGTAACTGAAACAAATTTTGTTGTATTTCTTACTACTGAATAATACTTGTAGTTTAAGCTCTCAGTGCCTGGACTTTGGAATTGTACAGCTGGTCTCTCCAGGGTACTTTTGACTCGATCACATGGCGAACTCTGTTAACTTTGCTTACTTTTTTTTTATTTTATTGCGTGCTTGGGTGTGTGTGTGTGTGTGTGTGCGTATCCGAGCTGGCGGCGTCATCATTATAATTCAAATGAGATTTGCGCGCACAGCAATCTACACACCCATACACACACACACACACATAAAGAGTTAGGAAAAAAAAAAAAAGAAGAATAAAGTAGAGTGAGTGAGAAGTGAGTGAGAAATAAGGAATAAGAAAAGGAGTGGAGAGAAGAGAGCAGGACAGAACGTGGAAGCGGGTAAGCGGGGGACAGAGCCCACGTCTACAAGTTGGAGAATGTTTGGCATTTTGCATAATAAAGTTCTGCAAACATATTTGACGTTCGGGTTGCGCAGACACACAAACACACACACACACACAGACAGACAGAGGAGAGAGCGAACGATAGAGATAGGACAGATAGACAGATAGAGCCGCCATTTTTCGCTGACATAAACTTTCAATTCGGTTTTCATTTCACTTGTTGGCATCTCGGCTTCTGCGCTTCTTGTTTTCCGCATTCGCAAACGATTTAATTAAAGTCCCAAAAAAAAACAAAAACAAAAACAAAATAAACAGCAAAAAGACAAAAAGACATTGAAATGATGAACGCAGAACCGAGAACATTTCTTAACATTATTTATCAGTCAGTCACAGTGACCCATACACAACCCCCTCCCTGCTTATTCTATATGTATGTATGTATGAGAGCTGTGTCTGTGTGTCTGTGTGCAGGAATGCAAAGTTTATTAACTGGATTTTTATTGCGAAACTTTGCCCTTTGCCTCTCCCTTTGTCCGTCATGTTGGCCGCGCTTAACGCTCAATTCGTTTGCCGTCCATTTTAATTACAATGTACCGAAATGTACGCGAAGGAGGCCTCGTCTCTGTCTCTGGCTTCGGCTGTGGCTGTGGCTCAGTCAGCCGAGGCATTAAAATATATTATATACAACGAAGGAGAGGAAACACACCACAACGGACAAGAGACAGGCGACAGTGTACTGCATACATGCCACAACGGTCAGTGGACAGCGGATAAAGGAGTCCTGTGTGGCATGTGTGGCATGTGTGGCATGTTTGTTGCCAAATTGGTTATCGCTAAGTGAAGCTGCTGGTTATCGAAAATAATAGAATTAACTCGGCCAAACTCGATGGTAAACAAGCGAAAGCTCACTCTGTCATAATTGATGGCTGAGTGCTGAGTGCCTCACAAATTGAAGCATTTCAGTGGGCCTTGGAGTGCTGTGAGAGACCCCAATACCCCTGGGGGGAATGGAAAATGAACCCAAGCCCTTACTGATAATTTGTTTCCAAAGGGAAATTACTGAAAAACTGCTTCAACACGATAGCTTTGGGATTATGCAGCAGGCTAACTGCCAACTTAACTGAAAGTTGATACTAAAAATCTGCTAGCTGCTAGCTGCAGCTCTCGCCAGATCCCTCTGGATATACATTTGACATTTGTGGACTGGCTACTGGATGCAGCCAAACTTGATGGGATCAACTTGAATGCTGGCTTGAGATTTCATTTATGTATAAATTGCAGCAGCTGAAATCCTATCACTGCACTTGACTGACTTTCAAAGGCTTACTGCTACGAGCATGCGAGACTTGCATCTGACAAGCTCCGATTTCCATACGCTCCACTATACGTACTATACTACCATTTGACCTTACTTGCAGCTCAGCTCAGTTGAGTGACTGTCAAAGACTGACTGCTGCAAAGCCTGACACAGACGCGCCACTGGCGCTGACTTGGCACACGTCTCCATCTCCATTTCCATTTCCACTTCCACCCAGGACACACACACATGCTCATCCCCTATTAATGGGAGCAGAAGAAGAAGAAGAAGCAGAAGAAGGAGGAGCAGAGCAGAGCAGCACAGAATCCATTCGAAGCGACATTAAGTGCACTCGGGGAAAGTGATTTGATGCGTGTCACATTCAAGTGCAAGTGCTGCTTAGCACCGACAGCCCCACATTTGTTCGCTGTACATACATATATGCTCCTGCTCCTGCTCCTGCCGCTGCTCCTGCCGCTGCTCCTGCTGCACATCCTTAGCATCATTTCACACATACGCTTTCTGGGGTGCCACTGCATAAGACAAACTATAGCCATAGCCATAGCCACAGTCACATCCACATCCCCAGCTATGGTACTATCTGTATAAAGTTCTCTTAAAGTTGCCCGAAAAAGTGCTCTCGGGCTTGGGGGCTTGGGGGCTCGGGGGCAGCCATAAAATGGATTAAATAAATACAGTAAATAAATCATTTAGCGGCGTCTCAGAAATAACGCATACGCCACGTAGGCCGCACCGAACACGTTTATGGCCGGAATCGCGCAGTCGAGTTATAAACACGTATTATGCGCGCCCATCCCCCCCCCAAAAAATAAATGCGAGCCAAGAGATATTCCATGTGATATGTGCATGTGTGTGTGTGTGTGTGTGTGTGTGTGTGTGTGTGTGTGTACGTGACAATTAAATTTATGAAATAATATATACAGGGCCATAAAAGGACCAAAAAGGCGCTGTCCAAGACCCAAGACCAAATCCAAAAGCAGAACCAAGTCCAAGTCCAAGTTGAAAACTCAGTTCTAGGGGTCGCTGCTCTCCGCTGCTCTGCGAATTATCACCCCCCCAGAAATGGGCGCGTGACTGCTCTGCCACACACGATAATTATTATTTAAGTGGAATGCATTTAATTGGCAGCTTATGTGGAATCGACTAAAGTGCCATGAAGACTAATAAGTATATATAGAAATATGTACATATATATTTACTATTAATACACATGGAAAGCACGAAGCTGTCTAATTTTTCTTTTACCCAGCCATTTCTAAGCTTACTTCTTCTTTAACGGCAATAACAACAATATTATTAGAACTCTCTTTGAATGCTGAAACATTAATTTGGGCTCCGTTATGGCTGGCAATAATCTGAGGGCTTAATTGCGCCCCCAGCCCCCCAGCCACCGTCCTTGGGCAGCAGAATTTCCCGTTCATCTGTCATCTGGGCTGGTCATAAATTAAGCATGAAGAATACTGGTACCTGCCCAGACATTTACATTTTAATATGCATTATTAGCTGGATAATTGTTTGAGAATATTGCTTAAAAATAGACAGTCATGAAGGCACCTCTGGCAGTGCGGGTCTCCCCCCCCAGTCCGTGGCAGCCATCAATTTGTCACTTTGCCATTTTGTACTGGTATTGCTGGGCCGCCCCCACGCCCCCAGCTGGATATGCCGCCTCCTTGTCATTTGTGCCATAATAAATTCAAAAGCCCCTCCATGAAAAGAAAGCGAAAAAAATTGTCGCGCACTTTTAGCGTTAATTTGTCAGCTCGGTTTTTGCTCCCCTTCGCCATGCCCTGTTCTCTCTCTCCACTCTCTCCACTCTCGCTCTCTTCTTTCTACTTTCTACTTTCTCCATTATATCCACGAGTGTTCGTGTCGCGGAGCTAGCCATCTTTGTTTGCCAATTTTAATATTTTAATATATCCTGGCACGCATTTTGTCTCATTTGTTTGATGACAAATGATTTCAATTTCTGGGCAGCGTTGCGTGGCTTCGAATACATCGCGTTGTAACATCCAAGCCAATTTATTAAGGACACCAGCCAGCCAGCCGGCCCCACCTATTGCCAGTTCTTGCCGCCATTTCCCAGAGACAATTAATAAATCAAAGGCAAAGTTTCTCGCCGTGGTAAAGCAAGCCAAGAAGCTTAAGCAGCTGCAAACGGATACGGAAATGGGATGCACCAGGCAGGGAAGAGAAGTGCAGAGGGGCAGAAAATATGTGAAAATACTCGTTGCAGCTGGTAAATAGAATTTCCCATTGCTCACATCGATTGGAATGTTGTGCAGATTTTTCTCTTATGACTTACACAATTCTGCCATTGGCTCAACTTTCCCTCCCGGCTCCTTTGGCAACACATTTTATTAAGGGCAGGAGCTTGGAGGAGAGAGAGAAAAGCCACAAAGTCTTATGGAAGAGTTACCTGAGGCCAAGCAGGTCCTTGCCCCTGCAGCTTGCGGCACTTAGCCGCAAAGTTAAAAGTAAAATGCCACTCAAATAGCAACAACACCGCAACTTTCAAAGCATCTGTAGAAGCCAAGCCAAGAAAGGGGACTGACCAAAAGAGAGACCAAAAGATGCCCCCGAGATGCTCAAGGATGCTGCTGCAGAGTGCTTTGCAGATATGAGGGTGCAGTGAATGAGTCCAAAGGATATTGAGATGCAGCGGCAGCATGAATTTATATAAGCCCGAGAGGCTCTCAAATAAATGTATCTTTGAGCTGTTAAGATGCCTGCACCGAGGACACATCTACTGCCCATTCATTTGAGTGAATGCTCTCCAAGTGAATGATTGGGTGCCGAGCACTACTCGCATGCCATTCACACGCTCTTTTGGCCATAATTTTAATTCCCCATTTTAATGGGGAAACAATGAAACAATGGCATCTGGCGAGTACTTCGGACTCCAATCTGTATGGCATTCACTCATCTCTAATTAAAAAGTGGGCGGCTGCAGCCCCGGACTGCCCAAAGGTCTCTGCCCTGCGTGCGAATTTTCATCAAACGCACTGACTGACTTACAAATCCCCCCCCCCCCCATGGTTTTTTAAAATGTACCAGAAGCAAAACCAAAACCAGAACCAGAAAATAGCTGCAGCTTTCATAAATTGCTTCTCGTTTTTGTCGTACTCGCACTTGTTGAAGGGGATGCACACCGGGGGGGATGCACACTGGGGTATCCGTATCCTAGCAGCTCCCTTTTAAAGTCCCAAAGCTCTGTGCCCGGGGCGGGGCGGGGGCTGTGGGTTCTCTACAGAACAGAAATTAAATTTCTTGCTGTCAAAATGGAATTGTTTGGAATGGGCCCAGCACACATTGTGCCAAGTAATTTGCCATTAATTGTCGTGCCTCACTTTGCCAATGGAAATTGGAAAATGGAAATTGAATTTTTTTGGGCAACGCTGGATGCATTTCTGGGACTTCTTTTGCTACGATCTGCATCGACATATTTTTTGTGTGCTAATTCTGTGATTGATGGGGCCCCAAGCTCTGGTTTTTTCTCTGGAAGATGGCCGTGTGCGGCTCCATGCCGCCCAACCAACCGTTTACTGTCCCCTTGACAAGCCCAGTGCTGAGGCAAAGAAAACTTTTGTCACACAATGGCAATAAGCAATTATTGTACTGCTGACGTGGCGGCGGCGGCGACGGCCACGGCCACAGCAAGGTGGGACAGCGGTCACTCTGTCTGCCCGTGTCATAGGCCCGCAGGCAGCGCTGCTCGAGTGTGGCACGTAGCAGGGCGTAGCAGGGCGTAGCACGTGGCCACCAGTTTAAGCCTCTTAAATATACGAAAAGCAATTAAAATATAATCAATATGCGGATCCGCCTCCTTCCAGTACAGTGGCTGTACAGTGGCAGTACAGTGGCAGCGGCACGGGGCAGGGGCACTGCGAGTACCTATGTCCAGCCAAGCCGGCGATGAACGTCGAGGCAATTCTGAACAAGTTGTTGCCTGAAGCGCAGGATATTGTCGTCCCGCACCGGAGTGGGGCGGCTGAGCGTTTCCTCATCGTCCACGTGGCGGTAGTGCTGCATCTGGCCAATGTGAACGGGCACATCCATGGGGCCGCACGACTCCGCCCGCCAGCGCATGGGGAAGTGGTTGTGCGTGAGGGTCACCAGCTGCGGATTGTGCAGGCACTTAATGGCCAAGTTGGCGTCCAGATGGTCGGCCACCCGCGTCACATGCGACAGCATGTAGAACTGCTGCGGCAGCGCCGGATCCGCTGCCAGCTCCTTGGGGAAGTACACGTTGCGGAAGCAGAAGCTCGAGCGCGCCGAGCAGTTCACGTCCAGCTGCTGCAGCTGCTGCAGCAGCGACCGGTAGCTGAGCAGCTCGCCCAGCGGCATGATGACCTCATCCACATCGAATACGCCCAGGTAATCGAACTCGTACATGTTCCGGTACAGGCAGTCGTTGTACATCAGCACCTCGGTGAGCCGCGACCGCAGATCCCAGTCGTCCGACTGCTCTTCTAGCACCTGGTGGGGCCGCAGCTGCAGCAGCCCATCCACGTCGGCGTAGTGGGCGAGGGTGCGCGATGTGTTGGCGGTCAGCTCACCGATATCGAAGGCCACCACCCGCTCGACACCCAGCAGACGCAGCAGCTCCAGCCACTCCACCATCCGATCGGATACATCGCGATCCGGGAAGCTGAGAAACTTAACGCACACACCCGTGCGCAGCTGCTGCTGCTTGGAGTTGGGCGGCGGCCGCTGTGGCACCTGGGCATTGATCACGATTAGGGCGTTCCTGGCGGGGGCACAGCGGCTGCCGAAGACCAGCGACACCAGCTGCGGCACTCGGATGTCGGGCTCCGGCACCACACAGCTGAACATGGTGGGATAGGCAATGCCCTCCACATCGCCCCAGACGTCGTACCAGCCCACCTTGGTATCGGTGACGGGCACCAGGTCCGGCTGGCCGCCATCCTCGTACCACAGCTGACAGAAGGCCGCCGGATATGGGCCCGTGACGGTGGTCACCATGGCCAGTACCATCACCTCGGGCGCTGCCGGCCTGCAGTCGTAGTAGGCGTTGTAGAAGAAGTAGCTCAGGTTGCCCACCGTCACCCACTGGAAGTCGGGATTCTTGAAGACCAAATCCTCATAGCGGGGATAGGGCGCACACTGATGGCTGCGCCGCGACCCTTGGGCCCAGTGTTGCTGTGCATTCTGATGCAGCACAGTCTTCAGATCCAGTGGTCTGTTCTTCTCATCATCCACCACCACTGCAGGAGGATCGACATCGATTCTGGGTAAACCGGGCAGTAGCTGCGCCTGTGCGGGAAGGCCCGGGGACTTTCGGTTGACTGATGACGACGACGACGACGATCTGGCTGAGTTTGAGGGCGGCAGCTGTGCCAGCAGCTGGTGGAGGACCAGTAGGAGTCCCATCGACCCCACAACACAGATCAGCGGCGTCCGCCAGGCTCGCAGCAGCTTGTACACCATTCTGGAGCCCATCCAATAGGCATCTGGCGCGATGCTCCCTGCTTCCAGCGAACTTAAGCATTGTCTGACAGACCCACTTTTACGTGCACCGCCAATCGACATGTTGCAATTTTCGAGATGGATTCAAAAGGGATTCTGGAGAGGGAGAGGGAGGGAGAGATAGTAAATAATAATCATGCTAAGAAAGATAAGATAATGTATACACTTTAAGAAATTGAAAATTCGATAAATAGAATAGAATAGAAAGCAGAGCAGAGCAGAACAGAACAGAGATAAGGATTCGCCTTCACCTTCGGCCTGCCTGTGGGTAACAAAATAAAAAAAAAACGGGAACATGCCTGTTCCGATGCAATCTTTGGACATCAAAATATTGAAATTGCTTTGAATGGTTTTTTTTTGTGTGTTTGTTGGATGGATGGATGAAAAATCAAATGGACTTACATAAATATTTACGTGCAGTGGCGAGCAAAAGTGAGTGCATATGTTCATGTCGAACTATTTTATACTTATCATTTATTTCGTAACAAATTGGAGTACAAAACAGTAACATATGAGATGAATTCAATAGGTTTGAGACTAAAAACCAAAATAAAAAAGGATAAGTATAAAATAGTTTAATTTGTTTGATTATCTTGCTGCGTTGAAGCTGAACAAGAGCACTCACTTTTGCTCGCCACTGTAGCTCAGCGAAAGAAAAACAAACTATTGAGAACAAAGGGAATGTTGTTTGGAACTTGGACACTTCTTAGCACAATAATCTCAGCTTGCATAAATACTTACACGGATTGCCCTTGAGTATTATTTAAAACGGTGCACAGAAAGAAGCGCCGAGAGGAACATTGGAGTGGAAGATCTTCTTAGTAGATAAGAGTACTAAGAACTTGCATAGCTACAGAAAATATACCGTTACCATTATGGAAAATATGAGCAAACTATTTCCCTGAGGTGTGTGAATATTTGTGCACATATTGCGGGAGTGCTCGTTTCACTTATTACCTATTATTACTTATTGCCGTATAAGCTGATAGGGGTTATTATTATACAAAGGGGTGGATAGGGGCTATATGCTGCCACAATATGTACCACATATATTGATTCAGAATATTTACTTGTTGCATTTCAGGGAATATTTTTAGACTTTAATTGTAATTTATGACTCTTCGCACTTATTTATCGAAATAACTTTCCAGAATGCTGTCCACAATGCCCTTCTTTATTCTAGAACTAAGCTAAGTCGCCTCCATACATTTACATATTTATATTTTCAAACTACTCGGTTGCCTCTCTGCTTACAGTACCCACATGTAAATGTCTTTCTCGTGTATTCCTTTCCTATGATATTTCCTTGGGCAGTCTTTTCTTCAACCGCGCCTATTGCCAAAAGTTTTCATTCAGATTAGGCCACCCCACAGCCCCAATACATATCGAGAAAAGTGGCCCGCACATGCTCCTCCTTCTCCTCCTGTTAATCCTGCTAGTCTGCCTCCTGCTTGGACCTTAACAAGCGGCAAACAAGCCAAGTCCATGGCTGAGATGGCTGGATGGCTGCGATGGCTGAGACAGAGTCAGAGTCAGTGTGTCGACGTGGCGTTTACTTGGCAATGGCCAAACACACAGACAGAATGACAGAAAATGACAAAAGCAGTTGCCGACCGACCGACCAGGGTTGTACCGCAGGCTCTTTGCGGTTTAATGTATGGCAAGGGGATAAAAGGAGCTGGCTGGCAGCTGGCAGCTCCTGCCCGGCGGCAGCACCTGCATTAAATTATTGATTCGATTTCGCGCGCGGTTCGCTTTTATTGTGGCTGACGATTTCGTTCGTTTTTTGCTTTTTGAATGAATTGTAGCCGCTGCCTGGCATTGTCAAAGTTCTGGCGGTAAGGGTCACCACCCCCTCAACTCGTGTGTAGCGCCACGCACAACCCCAATCATGGACTCGTCGTCTTCCAGTGTCCCAACTACAAATATACATATGTATGTATGTACATATACAGTCATGCCTCCCAATGTCTGTCAGTCTGTCAGGCTGTCACGTTGCCTTTCCCATTTCTCACGTATGTGTGCGCTGCCACGCCCAGAAGCAACATAACAATAACAAACAGGGAGGTGCGCTATAAACGACATTACGACCCAAGGATACCCGCTAAAAATTATCCGAAAAGAGCTGCCAACACAGTCAATGAAAATTTGCATTATTCAATCGATTTGGGGGCAAGCAGCGGAATGGTTCGATAAATTAGAGTTTCTGAGAAGAGAACTTCCTGCGGGGATGCTGTGACTGACTAAGGGATTTATTCTGTTGTCTACTGCACACTGGTCTATGAACAATATATACCCCGTCTGGATAACAGCAAGTGAAAGCCAGCAGGCAGTGCGAACGCTTCCTTGGCATGGTATATCCGGGCGTACACAAGTACGTACGGATATATGTATGTATATACGAGTCTGCCAGTACTACTACTACTACTGTTACTACTCGTGTCTGACAAACAAGACATAATCAATCACTTAACCCAAAAAACGCACACCAAACGTTCGTTTCAATTAAAGTTTCGTTTTCATTCACTTAGCCCGCCGCCGTCTAAGGGTCTAGTGGCAAGGGAAATAACAAAATCATACACACACACACACACACACACTGAGCGAAATGGCCATAGAGAGGCAATCATTTTGATTGCAGCAATTGGATGCGATGAAATGTGCAAAGAGCAGGGTGAGCAGACCCCGCAAAAGTGTCGCATGATAAATCATTTCCTCCCCCCTTGATACAAATGACCCGCAAAATTCATCCATAACTCAGAAAAATAGTTGGTTAACAGTCGGTGATTTACTTTCTGTAAATTAATATGCCCTGCCTTTGGATTTCATTGTTCCGCTTCGTTCGGCTGCTCTCAGTATCGATTTCCATGGATCCCAAATGGATAGTTGCTTTTGTTATTCCCCCCATAGTTCCATCAGACGCAGTCTCAGTGTACGTATTGTATTCAATAGCTGAAATTCACAATTGAAGGCCTAGATATGTACGAGTGTTGGCCCATTGTCATTCGGCATTCGACTCTTGAGCATGCAAAATACGAGAATATTTGTACATAAATAAATACATTTCCAGCGGCTCAAATGTGGTAATTGCTCATTCAGAGAGCGAGCTCCAGCTCCAGCTCCATTAACATTCACATTTACATGAGTGCTGAATATTAACTGAGGCGGCCTCTTTTTGCTTCAGGGCGTTAGGCATAACTTTGTTTTTATTTATTTTTTGTCATTTTTAATTTATTCTTTTTGGTTATTTTTAATATTTATTATTATTATTATTTTTTTTTTTATAATTTTTAATTAATTTATTTATTATTATTATTATTTATTTATTTTTTATTTATTTATTTGCTGCATATATTTTACTGCATTCAAATGTTTAAGGCTTTGTGTTCGTTGCTACATATATTTTAATTTTATTAGTAAAAAGATTTAAGCATTTTTTTGTTCTTGTGCTCCTTCAGCTCCTTTTCTGGCCGTGTACGCTAAAAAAGGAAATACGAATTTTCGTACATCTTTGATTTGACTTTCACTTTATATACGATTATATGTGTACATGGGATCGTGTGTGTACGTACGTATGTATACAGAGACGATGTTTATATTGGCAAAAGTTGGTGGTTGCTTCAATCCGCTGCTCATTCGCGACGGAAGCTTTCAATTTCCGATTGCAGCGCCTCACTGGTAATGGTCCTGGGTTGGAGTCTAAGTCTGTACTCCTCTGCATACACTTGGGCACTCCCATGCCCATTCATAATTCGCATATCATCGGGGGAAAATAAACTCCCAAATGGCAATGGCAATGGGTGTGGGGGGTGGTGTGTGGGGGAATGGAATTGCTCCTAGAGAAATCACAAAAATCTGTTGCTCATTGCTGCTGATACGAGAGTTTTTTTCCGTTTCCGTTTGGGTTTGTATTGTTGTTGTTGCTGTAATTGAAGCAATGACGCAAGCAAAATTCATTCAGCAGACTTCACCCTACCCCCGGACAACCAGCGAGCTTACTCGCTCGAAAGTAATTTGTTTTCATGCGAAGGCAGGTCTGTTCTCGACAAGGATATGTAAAGAATAATCCAAGACGAGGGCTGACATGTCCTTTCAATGATGACGCGAATGCAGTCCCAGCGTTTCAAGAAAAACCCTTTTTGTCACAGTTACAGAGATACAAAGATACAGAGAGACATAGAGCTACAAAGTGATATAAAGATACAAAGATACAGAAAGAGAGAGAGAGAGATTTGGGTCCAAGGGCCAAGGGCCACCTGATCTGCTCTCAAATCACATTTTGTCGCACATTTAGCATAATTTAGCACTTCATTTGCCAGACAGGCGGCACAGGGAAGAGCAAAAACCGCGACAGCTGCCGCTGCCTCGCAAAAGTTTTCAACACGCACAAAACTCCAGCCACGCCCACTCCTCAGGAGTGACACAAAAAAAAAAACAAAAAAACTCCTCCAACAGCCAGAGCTTGTGGAGCAGAAGGATGTATGGAATATGTGTTGGCATTAGGTTGCAAAGTGATTATGATGCCCGAGGGCAGAAGGTGGGAAAGGTGGTGAAAGGCCGAAGACGTGCCAGACGACAACCCTGACAACCCATAGACATTATCCCGTCTCGGATACCACCTTGCTGGGGGTAGGGGGGAAGCAGCTCCCACTACCCGTTTGTCAGAGACAACAATTCTGAGTTCCACCTGCGATGACACGAATCTCAACATCAAAAGTACACACAAAAACACGCAGTCGTCCACGTGGTTTGCCCTCCCAACTTACACCCAATACATACATACATACATATATGTATATATATAAATATATATACGTATACGCATCAGCTCTTTGCCAAAGTTCCCACAACAACAAAAAGTTAAACCGAAAAAAGAGTCTGTCACAGTTTTTGTCGTTTGCAGAAGCACAAAATTACAGGCTATATTTGTATTTGAATGATTCATTTATTATCAAGATTTATGTTTCACTCAACGGCCACTCCAACTGCACGTTGCACAGTGGGCAGCAGGGAGAAACCTTTACTTAATACAAAATTAAACGGATTGGCCATAACTATTTCAAAACAAAACAAAAATAATGGCAATATTTAGTACAATGTCATTGACTTGCGCCATTTGAACAACATACAGAAAGGGCAAACAGAAACAGGAAAGGGAAAAATAGAATCCCACAGCATTCGCTGCTCACTTCTTTTATTATAATATCAAAAATTTTACAGCAAATAACTAAAACAAAATATATTCTATCGTCTCTTTTTTGTTTATTTTAAGAGATCGAGCAGATCCTTTTCCATGCTCTGCAGCAGATAGCGGCGCACGGCAATGGCATTGCCGCCCCGCGTTATTTTTTTGAGCTTACGTTCTTTGGTTTTAGTGAGCCAGTCCCTGTAGCGCAGCATTTCCTTCTCCAGGCAGTCATCGTGTCCCACAGTCGCTGCACCGCGCAACTCGCCCTGAACGGTCTCCAAAATATGC